TTTTCATATTTTCTAATTGACTAATTTATGTGAAAAAAAAAAAATTGTTTTTAAATCAGTTTAAAATGCAAAATTATTTTGGTGTGCTCTTATATTTTTTTACCACTGCATTGCCGTCAACAAAGTCCAAAACAAATGTCAACTGCACATCATCATTGACAACGACTTTAAGGGCGAAAACCCGTCTTAAAACATTAATTATAATAACTTGTTGAGAGTAACGAGTACACACTGTAATATTTTAACACATTAAAGACATTATTATCATTTAAAACATACTAGGGTTTTTTCAAAGTCGAACGGTAGGTGCTCTTAAAGGTTTTACGTGCATATTTGATTCGGGTTAAAACTATTTTCAACACTGCTATAATACATTGTAGCTTTTACGACTCGACCTACGCCCCCGATCTTATTACTGTATATAGCTGATGGTACTTACTACATACCCCACTGCCATTACAGCGCCCATTCAAACGTCTCTTTCATCGCTTCATTGTTCGCGCGCGCTGTCATTACTCGCAGACCTTTAAATGAGACTTTCGACAAATTTTCTATTGTTGTTGCACATACTTTCTCTTTCTTCGGTCTCGTTATCGATTAAACTTCTTTTTTTTTACACTCATAGTCGTATATAGTAGGTACCAATATGCGCGCGGCAGTGGTTAACAGTGGTATAGGTGGTTTTTTTTTGCACGTGCCAAGATAAGGGTCGATTTATACACACCTGGGGTTTGGACGGAAAATATTTAAAAGTTCGGAAATCGACAAACCGACCAGAAAAAAATAAAAATAAAATAAAAAATAAAAGCTTTCGCTTCTTACTGTGCTCCGGGGAATTAGTCCTGGTGCTGCTGCTGCGTGTGCCACGTACAAGCGCCCGGGTAGGTATCATAAAACAGCATGTGTGTTAACCTTCGTTCGATTATAAATCTCGAGAAAAGGCGGCCATAGGTTTTGGTGTGTTTAAAAAAAAAAAAATCCTATCAGGCATACACGACCACCCCCCCCCCCCCCCGATCCATCCCGACAAGGGTTCTGGAGAATGAGCGGTTTATACCTATATTTTAATTTAAAAAAAGAGTATTACTCGCACGCTGTACTTATTGCTATCATTTTATGTTATCCCAAAATAAAATATAATAATATGGAAATGTAGCGTAAATTTACATTATTCGTTCGCTTATGCTTTTGTTGGTAAATCCTATTACCTAGCGGGTAAACTATATTCTAATATTTATGTTGAACATTACCCCCAAAAAATGATACGGGTAAAATAACAAACCGGAGATAATAAATTGGCACACGACTTCCACAAAAACGAGTATTGCACTTGTGCTAGAAATTAAATCACGAGAAACCGTCCAGAAGAATGTAAGAAAGTAGTAGTAATTGTATCTTTATACAATTTCACGCAATTGTGCGTGCTCAATCGCCTAAAAATACATACATGGACAGAATTCCCAGTTGTTCAATTTTCGTTAAAGATAAGCATATTGGCAAGTATGAGATTCGAAAAAAAATTCGTTTGATATCCTCTTTGGGGGAGCAAAATATTGCAAAATGTACACTTATAATAATATAGCGTTTACGAATGTCAAAAATGCAAAAAGATATAAGCCCAAGTAGTACACCCTGGCTTACCTGTTGGTCGTATAAAGTACACCCGGCAAACGTCGTTTATTGTTTATCACCACTGTATGTATAGGTATATACACACACCCCTACTTAAGCTTATATGTAAGAAACTCTATTATAATAGCTAATGCAGCAGAAGCTGTTGTACCGCACACCTTAATGTTTATTAAAAAGTTAAAAAGGGTTATTTATTGGGGAATGTTATTTTAGTACCTATTTTTATAAGTATGTTATTTATTTTTCTATTGTTGATGAATTATGGATAAAAGCGGGCGACTTAACATAATTATTAGTATTTTATATAATTACGAGATGGACGCTTAAGATTTTATACATTAATAGATGTACCAATATGAAGAAGTAGATAAGCAGTAAAATTAATGTGAAAAGAAACCTATGGCCGATCGTTAACGCTGTCACTGAAAATTAAAAATCGCACTAGTCCTCTTTAACTGAAGGTTTTTATTATTTTTTTTTAATTTAATATATGCGATTGCTTTTGACGCTTGTTTGATTTACGATTTAAATCCCAGTTTCGTCGGATGGATTCAAATTTTGTTGTTGTTTGAATATAAATATTATATATTTGACATTTCTCGCCCTAACTTAACATCAACACAATGTATTATCAATCATTTTCCGAATGCCAAATGAATATTATAAATAAAAGAACACACACGTGATGAAATGTTTGTTTGTAATCGACACTCACATCGTCGCTGCCCGCACACTATTAAATAGGACTTTTTTTTTTACCCACGCATTTATTATGTATTGAAATTTTTGATTATTTTATTTTATAAGATACATTAAAGATAAGTTAAATTATTCGTATGTGTTAGACGACTTCTATTTTCTATTTTGTAGGTACATAATGTTTATTATCCGTTAAAACAATGTCTATACATCATAGTATATATTATTAACTAGTTAACCAGTTTAAAAAAAAAAGGATTTAGTCTCAGTTTAACCGTTTGCAAATAATTTTTTAAAAAATACCTACAAAATATTGACCGTGCCTCGAAGCACCTATACTTTTCAATTTATAAAAAATCACGTTTTGGGTAGTTAATTTTGCTGCTCAAAAAATGTATAATCTTGGAAAATCTTAAAACAAAATATGCCATCGATATGCTATGAAAAAATTAAGTTCTTAAAGTTTTAAACCACCTATAGAGCGTTATAACATTATTAGGCAATTAATCAAAACATTTTTATTTTTCCAACACATCAAAGCGGTTTTAAAGGTATGAGTTTTCCACATTTTAAGCCAGACTCGTTGTTTCTAATTTGAATTCTTGGTACAGGATTTTACTTATTGAAATGTTTTCTTTTGAAGTCTATCGAATATTCTTATTATTAAAAGAAAAAAGCAATCATTAATTTCCCACGGTCTTTAGATTTGAAAAGATATTAAACTACTTGAACAGTAAGAAAACTGTCAAAAACGAAATAGGTATTGCTTGTGTTAATTTAATTGTAAAAAGTAAGTTCTTTAGGAGGCATTTTAGAAGGTTTTTCAAAATTAATTTTCTGTCAGAATAAATGATAATATTAAAATAGCATAACCGAACTTGGTTAAACGTTAACCTTACCTTATACATACAGGTTACCTATTAGAATTTTGAAACGGCTCTGAGATTTTGTTAAACGCGTTCGACCTTTAACACAAAATTGGTTTGTTTTTTTATACATTGAAATTAACATAGAATTAACACAAATAAATAATAGATAAACACAAACAACAATGATTTTTTTTTTTTAAACGAATATCACAGCGGTCGGTTATTCGAATGATCGCTTTTTGGGTAGAAAACCATAAAGTGTGATTTGTGTATTTTATAAAACGGTTTTTCTGCCAAATATTTTCCCTCAAGAGTGCAAAACCGTGTTAATTTTTTCGGTGTGTCTTTGTGGATTTTCCTAGTCGCCAGATGATGTTATATCATTTTTCAAGGACAGGGTTTTCTTAAAGATTTTGTCATACGACTTGTTGATACCGTCGAAAAGCCGACGGAATAAAGTGTACTGGAAAAATGTCAACGTTGAGTTAGTTTAAAATTCGTACGTGCGGGTAATTTTTGTAGAGAAACAATTTTTTTGGGTTTTTTACTTTGGCTACGACGTGGTCGTCATACTTGAGCGCAAATTCCAAAAAGAAAACCCGTCACGAACGTCGCCGTTTCTTTTAATATATAGGTATATATATAATTTTTCTACAATATAAAATACAACCGGGTGACGTTCATTGGCCGGGAATGATAACAGGCAAAGGGGTCGTGGCCGGGAATGCAGGATTGGGATCAGAAATCGAATAACATCTCGATGGGATTTCACCGGTGGAATTTGCGGCCAACTTATAATTCAATAACTGTTTCTTGTTGAATGCACGTGATCCAAATGGAAATGATAAATAAACGTCAAAATGAAAATATCACTGGCCGCCCTATATTGTCCTTTCGGGCCTGCGTAGGCTGGGCAAACCCGTGATTTATCATCTAATATATTTATATATATATATTATTTTCCAAATGCTTTATTGCACCACTCACCCTCTCCTCTTGTCGTGTCGCCTTGGCCTCGGTGTCACCCCGTGAAACTACTCTTATATTATTATTACAACTGGTCGCAATTTTCCTACATAAACGCAGATGTTAACACCGACATAATAATAATAATAATGTAACCACCGAACGTCACCTGTGTAGTTGGTTGTAGGGTGAAGGAAGGTATTTTTGTGGCATAAGCAATTTCGTGATATAGTTTGTTGATCGTATCGCGTAATTCCCTATTAGAAAATTGTCTTGAAAATCACACTGATTGTTAAAATAACTGTGTTTTAACAATCAGTGTGATTTTCAAGACAATTTTCTAATAGGGAATTACGCGATACGATCAACAAACTATATCACGAAATTGCTTATGCCACGAAAATACCTTCCTTCACCCTATATGTCGATCCAGCCGAATCGAAGACACTCATTTTCTTGGAAAATACGAGTATTTTGAAAATGTTCAACATCATCCCTTACACGTGATAAGACTGTCGATTTTGTTTTAAGTCGATAACAAAAAAATTAAACTGAAAAAATGTTCGTTTTAATTTTCAGTACTAGGTTGGTTAGTTATGACCATGTCTAAACATTTGAATTATTAAGATCAATATTCGTTTTGGGGTTATAAAGACAGTATCTCAGCGAGTTCCCAATAAGTAATAACACAAAACAAACAGAAAATTGTTGTCGGTGTACGACATTTAATAAATGTGTCAGTGTAGCCATGAATCACGAAAAAAAAGGAAATATCTGCGTTCTGGCATCACTGCCTGTTTCTAAACTCTAAGATTCCCTTTCTGTTTATTCCAGGTGGTGGCCATATGATAATATATATTTGAAACTCTATAGGTTGACATACAGTGTCACCATATTACTAATAATTTACTATTGTGTACAGATTTTAATGGTTTAATTTGTTACGGTTTAATATGGTCGTACCTAATCAGTAAATAATATCACATATTAAATTATTCTTATCACGGTTTACTATGCTGCCATCTAGTTTATTGTTTTCAACTAAAGGTTGCAGGATTGCCGCCATTAAATTATAGTTGATTCGTATCAATGTATATGCTAGTATTGGCAATGGCCTATCCTTATATTATCTGCTCTGTGATAATAATTTTGACCTCCGTCGATAACACTGTCCACCGTTAATCGGAAACAAATAACACTGGTTATACATTTTTTTTTAAAAATTGTATATGAATAAGCGATTCTTTACTTAAGGAGGTGGCTATAGTAGTTTTAATTTGATGCAAACAGTAGGACTAAAGCATAGAGTAATAATATAAAGAGATGAACTAACATAATATACCAGCTTGTATTCATAAGTGTAGTTAACAGTATGACTAAAACCAGTATGACCACACAAAAGAAAAAAAAAAGTCCACATTGTTAAGCGATTGGTACTCTACATGATAAAATAAGTTTTTATCCCTTATCTTAAAATATTTTTGTTTTTTTCAAGATACTGTTATCGTTGATATCTTATCACCACGGTTTATTGAACGGTAGTTTTTTTTTTCGTTTAACTAGGCAGACAGACTTTAGTCCAAGGAGTGGCTACAGTAGTTTTGATTGTGACGGAAACAGTAGCACTACAGGGTAATACAATTTACCTAAATATTCATGCCTGCTTTACGAGAAAAGAACAGCGTCTTACTTATATCTAACGACCGGCCGGTTTGTACTTTGTAGTAATTCACACGTCCGTCGGGTCGACCCCTTGTGTAAAATAATCTAAAACTGTATAATCGGCGAAGAGTCCGGGCAATAATTGCCGAATAACTCTCTCTAAGTTTGCACATCACTCATTGCGATAGTTATCACACAAAAGCCATTAAGGGATCCGATAATGGCCGGCGCGTTTACCTTTCTAACGCCACCGGTTACCGTTTATTACGGCAGTTATCGAAATAGAAGACCATTAAAAGCTCACATAAAACACCCAAAGGTCGGTCTTCCGTTGAACAAAAAAACACCCACGAGTATAAAGTCAAGTGAAACACGAATCGCTAAGTACACACAAAAGGGCACATGCAAATGGTACTTATGAGATAAAAAATAAATTACAAATTTCACGTTATTAAATAATATAAATCAGTTAATACAGTATCGTGTGGTTTCTGGCTAATATTTTAGTGTTTTTATAATATCTAGCCTAAAACAATTCATAGAGAATTTGGCCCCTTAAATTATTGAATTTATTATTAATTTCTATTTTGAACGTTGTGAATACAACATATATGCCCCCACACCCATTGCCACCCCAACCCCACCCCACCCTTCATCTCTAATCTCTTATCTCTCTTATCTTATCAGATAAATCAGCTGATTTTTTCGTTATGATAACCGGTGTCGGTGTCGATTTTCCCTTAGTGTGCCAAAGCAAAGACATAAAAATGTCAATAAGTATAATAATAGTATGTTGTCTAATGCTCTATTATTTAATATGGGGAAATGTATATAGTTGAATATTTTTCAGAAATATTATTTATTGAGTTTTTTGTCTTTCTGGAAAATGTAAAAATCTGGTTAGGTGGTTTTTTTTTAAATTTCTAAAACAACTATAACAATATACACCAAAGTAAGTATACAATATAACATAATAACATGCACTAATATAGGTACCGACGAATGATTTAATGCGAACGGCATACCTACGAGAGGTCTGAACAAAAGGGTTAGTGTGATAAATGATCTCAAAACGTTATACTTTCTTATCAGATCTTCCGAAAGTTCTATAGTGTACAGCGAGTACCCTCTTTTAATGTCACAATAATAATATAAAATGTACATTTCGGAGTACAATAATATATTTGTGTCGATTTCATATTATTATATCTTTATCGGTCGTTTATATTATATAACAATTTAAGGCTTTGGCCGTGTAAAACGATTACTCTGATTTATCACTTTTAGAGTTCGATGCGATAGCTGAGAGAAGGTATTGGTTTTGTGGGATGTGAAATTCACTTTGGTAATTTTTTTAATGTTCATAATGTTTATAGTATGCTTGATTTGAACTGCGATTGGTTTAGACAGTGCTTGGTTTGGACTGTATTGGTTTAGACTAAATAGTTTATTTTAGCTTTTTTCATGGTGGAACCAAATCATTTATGGCAGTACCAAATTAGTTATTATATTTTAAACTAATTTAGTAGCAAAGTAATTCAACTACTTACTTTAACTTGTATTTAAATTGTTTGCAATTTATTTAAAATTTAAAGATAAGGACTTTGCAAAATAGGTACCTCTTGGTGTTTTGTTCTTTTTAAATACAAATTTAAGGTCTTTGGCCTAAAATCGGCCAAAGCATCAAAATACACCACATTTTTGGGTTTTTAGCGAAAAAAATGTCCATTTATAAAAATTAATCGGTTCTAAACGCCGGTTGTGATTTTTTAATTTTCAAAATATTAGTGACGTTATGGACTAAAATAACTTTCAATAAAAAGTTAATATCGAGTCGAGCTAGAGTGGTCAAAATATATTTTATAAGAACCTGTACATCAAGAACAACTAGAAGATAATTAGGTATTATGGCCAGATAAAGATAGTAAGATTTTAAAATTCTTAACTTGGATACTAAAAAAAAACAGGTTTTTTAAGGTTCAGAAAAAATGGAAAAATTGGAAATGATTTTTAAATTATAAATTTCAGAAAAACACAATTTTTTTGAGATCCGATATATTAAGTAAGAAGTTTTATTTCCGTATAAATGATGATCAATTCATCTCTCATTAATAATAAATAATAATTATTTATAAACTAAAATTTGTTATTAAATGCCAATTTATTGCAAATTGTTACTTTCAATAATTATATACATATTTACTTTATAACCTTTATTTTAAATAGTACAAGACTGATACTGAATAATTTATTATATTTTAAGAATAATAATAACATCTGAAATTTGATGTTAAATGTCAACTATTTTTGGTCAATTGTTATATTATTTACATTTATTTTATTACTATTGTTTTACCAGAGAATGGAAAATTAAAATTAAAATTTTTAGAAATATATTTATATATAATATGTTATGTATATTATGTTATATTTTCTTGTATTTTTTGTAAAAAAGAAGTATTGACCCGGATAAGTGAGGACTAAATCCAAAATTATTTCATTTTAATTAGGTGCTTGGTGCATAAAAGTTTTTGAAAATATTACAAATATTAAATTAAAAAAAAAAAAATCTTAATAAAACCAATACATTCCTCTCTCCGTTTGGAATCTAAAAAAAAACTAAAAGGTAGTTGTGTTATCATAAGTTGCCATACAATTTATCCTTTTCCCCCCTTTTTTTCCTGATTTCAATTTTTCAATCTCTAAATTAGTAGCTATTATTTTTAACACGGAAAAGTTGAACATTATTTTATATAATTTAAGCAGAAAAAAGTGTTTTCAGCCTGTTGTGCGCTCTTTGCCTTTTACCTGTACCAAGTGTGCATTTTCGATTTTTCTTTTTGCTCGATGATTATATTTTGGAAACTGAAAAACGCCAAACCGCTGCTTTGGGTCGACGTGACTTTTACTTATTTTTCGCTTCAAGAGTACACCTGTCAACTTCTGGCGACCGTCGAAGCGCATAGTGAAACAATATATCGTTTGTTTGCAACACTCCACTCTGTACTGTATTATTTATTTTGACAATATAATATAATAAATGGAATAAAATGATTGTTTTCCAATACTTGTGCGAGCGCGTGTTAATACCCTCGCGGATAGAGGGAATAAAAAAAAAGCCATAGGAAGACTCGTGAAAAATAAAAAAACAATAAGATATATATATATTGTATAAAAAAAAAACCCCAAGAAGTTAAAATTGAAGCAGACAGACGTTTCTAACAATAACCTAATGCGTTTAGACGTGTGTCCTCTGCTTGCATCGCCTTTGTACTTGTAATTGAATTATTTCTACAGAACTTTGGAGTAAAAAAAAAAAAAAGGAAAGAAAAAGAAATCTCACAATCGAGTGTCGAATGAGACAATATTAAATAAAATACACGGCTGTTATCTTATTTATTTGCTTGTCATTCGTTAAACTAGCAAAAGTGAAAAAAACACCAGTTAAATTATTACAATTATAATTGAAACGCTTATATTAAAACAAGGGTCAAGTTTCAAATTTTGAGTTTCTTTCAGGAGACACCAAAACAATATTTTTCTAGGTACATTTTCTTTTTTAATTAAAACTATTGTAATTTTGCCTAAGAATTTTTTAAAAGTTGTAACTAAGTAGTTAAAAGTATTATTCCTATTTTTTTCATCAAGATCATCGTATTATTGTTTATTACCCTTATAAATTGTAAGTATAAGTTATTTTATAATTCATTTGTTATCTACTTTATAAACAATATACCTACGCTATAAATACTACTTTACACTGTAAATCTAATAATAAACATGTAATCGGGTTGTCAAGCCGGTTAAATTCAAGTAAATAAATAAAATTGGCTCTTTGATTAGAATCAAAACTTTAACCATTGTCAAACACTTGTCTTGTGTATGAAATATAACATTATTATTTGATGTCATGCTTAATGTTATGTATTACATGCTGAAAAAAAAGTGTCACATTGAAAACAATATTAACTTTGAGAATATTATTTTACTTTGTAGAAAAATTTTTTTAATCAAACTTTGGTTTATAAAACAACACTTAGTAGGGCTTTTTATTTTTTTTAGTAAAATCATTCTTTCTTTAGTCGAATTGGGCTGATTTCAATGTTTGTACCTCAATTTTGTATAATGGCTGTGCATCATAACCAAATACCAATCTAGTTGAGAGTTTTCAAAGTAAGTCAACTCATATAAGTGGTCGTGTAGTCCAAATGTACTTACAATAATTATATATACTTTTCTATCTCCATTTCATAACACTGTTGTGGTGTATTTTTTTTTATTTAGACTTGACGTCGTCCTACACAAATATTATTATTATTATTTTCAATGACCGTCACATAATGACCCGTGTAGTTATTTTAGAATAAAAATCGTCAAAGTCGGTTTGTGCAGATTTTTTTTTACCAAATAGAAAAAAAAAGACTGCAAAAACTCATTACAAAGTTTGCTCGTTAAGTCCTATATATACATTTAACGACTGGACTATTAATTACTTTAGTTTCGCTAGAAAGTGCGCCCTCTGAAAATGTTATATTGTCAGTGAATAAACAATGTTTCGTGAAACTTATTTTTTTCCTCTGTTTTTCATTTAATACCCGAGAGTTGGTACTAACGAGCGTTTAATTAATTTCTCGCTTTTCATCACCTCCGTCTGGTCCGTTTGATGTATTTTTTATCACATCTCACCTGTTGGTGTTGTTTTTACAATAAGAGTACACAATAATTTCTACATGTTTACATTAGAATTCGAAAACGGGGTTTCCTAATGTATGCAATCCAATATAAGTATTTGGTGTTTATTTATCAACACAGGGTTATCTCGGACAAAACCGGTAGCCTTCAACGATGTTTTATAAGAATGACTGCATAGATAACTACTAAAACAAAGTTAGCACAGATCTAAATGTTATTGCATCTAATATTTTAAACAAGTTAGCTTAGCTAGCACCTTGGGTGTGTTGTTGTCTGCAGATGTCTGTTGCATTTATGGTCTAATCAATATGTGCTGAAATATCAAACATATTGTTTCTTTTAATGTAACCTATTTTATATTATATTATCCTCTTACAAACAGATGTATAGTTATTATTAACCGAGTGCTAATGGCTTTAAATAAAGCAATAAATGATAATCATTTGGATTTTTTTAGCCAGATTAAAAAGCGTTCTAAATAATGTTGTTTGACGATTTATACAACGTTTTTCTTTTTTGGTTGTATTGAAATTATTTTTTTAAAGATTATTTACTCTGTAATCTATTGCCACCATTTTGGGCGTAAACTATTTTAAATAAATAATAGAATACTATTAAATGTAGTTGACAGTTTTACTGGCCAAAAATAAGTAACCATTTACAATATATATTTGTATAGTTATCGATACACGTGTTTATGTTTTCTAAACAACTATCGTTTATGATTTTCATAAAAAAGTATTTATGTTATATATTTTTCTTGTATCTTGTTATATCTTCTTATATCTCTAAATATTTTACTTATTGTTTGTGGAATTACTTTATAATTCTAAACTTTCGCTGACATTGCTGTAATCATCTGAAAAGAACAATGTCTTTGAGTGACAACCGCAGCACGAGAACTTTACTGATGGTAATAAGACGCATGGGCGATGGCTTTTATAAGATTGTGAAGTCGACCATCACACCAGTGGAAGAGACTACTAGAGGTAGTCAACCATCTATCTCAAGTGCTCTCGGTTCAAAGTTGAGTGACAACCGCAGCACGAGAACTTTACTGATGGTAATAAAACGCATGGGCGATGGCCTTTCTAAGATTGTTAAGTCGACCGTCACACCAGTGGAAGAGACTACCAGTAGTAGTGTACCATCTACTTCAAGTGCTCTCGGTTCAAAGTCGAGTGACAACCGCAGCACGAGAACTTTACTGATGGTAATAAAACGCACGGGCGATGGCCTTTCTAAGATTGTTAAGTCGACCGTCACACCAGTGGAAGAGACTACCAGTAGTAGTGTACCATCTACTTCAAGTGCTCTCGGTTCAAAGTTGAGTGGACTTGCCCAAAAAACCACTTTGGACTCAAGTAATTTTCGAAATTTTATTACAAATAGAATTGGACAGTTAGTTGCTTAAATAATATAAATGTATTGTATGTCCTTAAGTGTTAAGCAAGACAATGCTTAACAATGATTTATAATTATTAAGAGTTGCGTCTAAATTCTTATTTTTCATTTAGAAACTCCACAAGCTCCATTGTATTCAAGAGAAATATCGCTTCCTATCAACACCGGAACTAAGAGGACATCATCTTCTCCGAATAATTTACCACCATGCAAGAAATTTAAGCTCTTAACAGCTCACCCAGTGAAAATAGACGAGGACTGGTATGGGGATCAAACCATTAATAATTATTTCAAGCTTATTCGAAATGAACACGTCAACGTTGCCACCTTCGACACTTTCTTTTACCCCGCATTATCATGTGGGGGATATGAGAAAGTGCGAAGGTGGACAAAAAAAGTTGACGTGTTCAGTAAAGATTTGATCCTCATACCAGTCAACGAGAATAAGCACTGGAGATTAGTAGAAGTAAAGCCAAAAGAGAAAATCCTGAAATTGTATGATAGCTTCAATAAGAACGACAAAAAGTGTCTGGCTGTAATGATGTATTATTTACAAAACGAGTCCTTGGATAAAAGGGGCACCCCTTTAGTAGAACCATGGACCATTCAGCTTGGAGTAAGTCCGCAACAGCTCAATAAGTACGACTGCGGGGTCTTCGTTTGTGAGAGCGCGAGGCGACTCGCCGCCGGCCATACTCTGAGCTACTATCAACACATGGCTCAAACAATAAGAATTCGGATAAAAAATGAAATCGAGGCAGGAAAACTTCAATAGATCTTGAGTAGCTAAACGGGTGGAGGTACTGAACACCAGGTAGGTGACGAGCCGATTCCTGGTCGTGTACCTCCCCCGGATAGCAAGAAGTTGGTTCTTCGATTTCCGGATCGTCTGTAAGACCCAGTGAACGGAGCTTGGCCTTGAAGTCCCCATGATCAGTGAGGAATTACACGACATGATGCCTCAGATAGAGAGGAATAGATAATCTTCGGGCAACGTTTGGGAAAAGTCTGTATGTCCACCAGTTGCACAGATGTCCCATCTCGCTTGCCAACTGTCACTGAGAGCGAGCCGTTGTTCCCGTAGAGCCTGTCTTTGTCAGGAGGATCATGTCTTCGTAATACCTCAATTTCGGCTCGGCATCTTGTCATTATATCAAGCGGCAATGATCTGGAGCGAGGCACCCGTTAGGCCGTCAGAGATCTCCTCTGCAGTTGGCAGAGTATTTTTACTATCACGTCTGGACTCGGCAGCGAGTTACTAGAATGGTACCCCGTATAGGATTCTGGGCAGGAAGACACAGTTACAGAAGAGCGCTATATTGCTTCTGTCACCTTGTGCCCAATTTGTCACCGTATGTCGCTCTGAGCCTGGTAAAGAGATCCAGGTTTTATCTTTTGATTTCAGCCAAGTGCTGGCTGTACGAGAGATCAGTCGCAACTGTGATGCCAAGATCATACACTGTACATTTAGTGTTTTAAAAACCTTATTTATATTATATTTTCCATTTATGTATTCCATTTTTTCTTCGAATTTTTCAATTCAAATTGTTACATGTTTCATGTAATTGTATGTTGTCTTAATTATAAAAACATATTTAATATACTAGTGACGAAAAATTGTGATAATATTACGATATTATTTTTGTTTTAAATAAAAATATTTAAGTTGTAAAATTGGCAAATTATGTGTAATAAAATATTGTGAGAATAAATTATACTCGCATTTTTTAAACTTTATATATAATATTAATAATAGTAGTATTATCGAGTGGGCATTTTTAATTAGGTAAAGTAAGTCGCTGTTATGTCTTGAGCACTTTCTTAGAGTGACACGCTTCATCTTCAGAGGTCTAGGACGCGAGACTTTGCCTGTTTTAATATGTATAATTCATTTTATAACAAATTTTGAATTATTGAGTTGTACAAATTTTTCCTTAGCGTTTTTAGTTGTGAATAATAATATTTTATTATTGATATAAACATAATTCAGTCGTTATCGTACGACATTTCTGTTGTAACAAAAGATAAGTTTGACATTGTTGCGGAAGACACGCTTTACTTGTTCGACTTTTACTTACGATTTGCAAGTTTCAGTTCTTTCTCGCATTAGTCGCTGTTTTCAAAAGTTTTTCAGCAACACAAAACTTTGTCCACGACGCACACAAACAGAGGACTTACAGCTGTGTTGTATTATTATTCTTGAAATGTTTAAGCTTTTCATGACCATAGTTTTCCTTTGTCGCCTTAGTCCGTCTCTATTAGAAAATCAAGACAACACGAAGACGTTGCATGTATTTATTTGGCATATTTAAACAGCCACACCAGCGAAACGTGTAGGTTATTAAGTTTTATTATTTATTTTACTTAAAAAGCGCTCTAAGCATAGTATTAAACGATGTTAATTACATTCCACAACTGTATTTCAACTGTTTCGTTAGTTAGTGCGGATAAAAAAAATACATGACATTCCACTGTTCTAAACTTCAACGACTATGTAAATAAAGTATAAGTAAGTAATTATTCAAAACAGGTTATCGACCATTCGGTTTCCTTCTCAACTATTAGCCAATAATAATTTAATGAAAGGATGAAACGAAAAATGATCTGCTTTAAAGAACTACCAGGTTGTGATAGTGTTTCAAGAATAGTATGCTGGTAATTTCAGCGAAGAAAAAACCCAAGGAATTTATGCACATATAAGCGAAAACAAGTGCTGAGAATTTGTACGGTAGTAAAACAGAAGAATGTTTGATGAGAGAATGCCGTAGGGCTCGCTAAGGGTCAATATTGAATCCGTACTTGTTTTTCCTATTAATACATTATAAGCTTGTAAAAAAAAAAAGGAACAGCGAGAGGCATCCTGGAATTTAATAACTGTAGATGATTCGGTTTTAGTAAATATAAAACTACAGAAGTGATATCATATAACTTATTTAGTACTTTTATTATTGTGAAAGTAAACTGACTTGCATGCTGCAACCATAATAAATTGTTAACTTAAGGGCAATTTTTTTTGTTATAAAATAATAAGCCTAGTATTAAAAATGTAGGTTGTAACAATGCTTTATTGTCTATAAAAATTCAAAATGGGCGGTCAGGAATAAAACAGTTACCCTCAGTACCTACTTGCTTCCACAGCAGTAACATTTATTGAGCCGTTAAATATACTATGTCCAATAAAAGTATCCACTAAGTAATACTTTATTTAAGTGCGCAAGTACTGCTACTGTGTCTATTTTGTTTTATTATGTTCGTGTAGGGATATGTATAGTATAATATTTATAAAGCATGAAGGGAACTAATAATTTGACTAGTTTATCAATCATTGTTACTATATTTGAATAAATATAGTTAAAAGACAAACGAAATTATTTACCTAAACATTTTTTATAAGGTGTTTTTTTTTTTGCTCCTCTTGAACACTATTGATTTTTAAGACTCGTGCCTTTTTTCAATAAAACGATTCCACTGATTGTTTTGATAATGTTTTCAACGAGGAAGCACAATTTGTCCGAAAAGTCACAAGTTGTTTTTTTGTTCTTTGTGATAGATTAATTCGGTGTACAAATAATGCATACAGGGTGATTTAGGTTCAGCCACTCGTTTTCTTAAAATTCTATAAGTCTTATTTTAGTTTTTTAGAAGTTTTTATTTTCGCAGGCACTTTTGTAGTTTATGTCATTTTACAATATTTAAACAATAGTACAATTTTCATATAATTAAGTATTTTCTAGAGATTTATCGATTTTTGAAACTTAACTGTTAATATATTTATATATATTTAATTGAATTTGTTTCATTAAACACAATTTGTTGACACTTTTAAATTAGTACACAAAAAAGGTAAACATTAGTTATTATAATATTTTCAAATAATGGTAAACGGTTTCGAAAAGAAAAACTACCAAATTGTATTTATTTTAATGGGAAATTCCAGTCTCACTCTGTACATGATTAATTTGTGAAACATTTCACATATTGTGATGTTTCCTATTGAAGTTCTCTATAGTGTTATAACGCGTACAACATATTAGGTATAATACTGTTACCTTTTGTACGAATAAGAAAAAACGTTTTGCTTATACAAACGAGATATTTTCACCGTCCTAAGTATGCACACGTGCGTCCAGGGGGCTTAGGCGCCACCGTAGAGGATTCGTTGAGATTTACAAGAAACTTTCTTCGGTGTTTACTCGCACCGAACCTGGAAAACTCAAGAAAAAAAAGTTTTCCGCCGCCTGCCGATTGTTCCATCCGTTTCCAATACATTAATTTTTGCTTCCATTCCACAGCTCTCCAAGTAAAAACGCAGTGTTCAACCTCTTCGGTTATGTTTGGTCGTGCTCGCCCTGCTCTCTACCTCTATCTTATCAACCGTTACCCATCGCCATACTTCAACGACTATACCTACCCAAGAGCACACTAAGAAATACACAAAAATAAGAAACGTTCTACAACTTCTACACGACTCCCGGGCCTGTGGAAATGTCGTTACGCCATTCCGTCCAATTGATTTTTGTTGTTTTTGTAAACTCGACAAAATCCCATTAGCCCCAAGAGATAGGTACACGTCAGACACAAACCGTGTCTACCGTGTCACATATTCGGTCACACCACATGGTGGTCGCCAAAGGAAATATTATTGGCCACGTGTCTTGAGCTGGGGTGACGTGAAATCCTCATTTTTTACAGTATACAGGGTGTTCCATTATAAATATATGGTCCAAAATTCAAAATGGCCGACTTACGGTCAAAAACATGTTTGTAAATCAAGTCTAGGTATTTTTAGATTTGTTATTTTTTATTTTGATTCATATGGTAACCGTGTCATGTGTGGTAGCCATGGTACTCTTAGTAAACGTGATATGTGTTGTAACCGTGATTTTTGACTTATTGATACACAGAAAAGAGGATAACGTGAACGATTAAGATGATGACAATGTAATGGTAATAATTGTAATGATAATGTTAAAGACAAAGATACATTTTAGGAATGTCTAATTTGAGATGTTTGAATATGCCGCCATTGTTGTACACGCATACCACGGTCACCACACATACCATGGTTACCACACATGACACGGTTACCATATGCATTAAAATAAAATAACAAAACTAAAAATAGCCAAGAGACTTAATTTACAAATAATGGATTGTATAATATATTATATTATACAATTTTCTCAAAATTCTCTAGCCAAATTTATAAATGGGAAAATTACACTTTGACTGTAGTCAATTACCAGATTGCTATGTGTGTGAGTGAATCATTAGGTAATGGAAATATTTTTATTATATTTTTATTTTTATAGACAGACGATCAACCCTAATCGTGTCCACCCTAATATTAAACGTGCATTTTTTAAGCACACAATTGTCAATTTAGGTTTAATGCTTTTATCGATACACACTTACAACTATGCTACTACTATCGTTACTTGGGTATAACAGAACCTGCTGTCCACAGCACCGAAGGACTAACTAACCTGACCAAAGATTGGTGGTGGGGGTGGGGAACAAACCGTGGATTCGGATAGACGCATATTGTCATAGGATTTGCAAATTTCGGACTTGGGAGACAAAACGACTGGCTCTCGTTCGACTCAAACAATAAACGGCACTGACAAAAGTACGAAGAGGAGAGGGTGGGTAGGGTAAAAGTTAAGCATAACTGGTGTGCTGGTTTGTTGTGGCAACGGTGCGAGACGAACAAGCGAGGAAATATAAATGAACGGCACACGAGTCTTACTTATTCCAGATGGCGGCGGTGGCCTT